CTAAAGGCACGTGTATTTCTTCTGTACGTCCTTTTGTATATATATATATATATATTGTATATATGCATATATATAAAAATTTTATAAACACATTTTTTTATCATATCGCGACTGTCGTTACTTGCCTTTAGCCTCAACTGGTCTGTTTTTCTTTTTTTGATTTTTATCTTGCCCTCTCGCCTGACGATGCTTCTTCATGCTTGCTGAAAAACCTTCGTGCGCTTCGCTACCTGCCAATTAACGCCTGCGAAATATTACCAACCGAACGTAAAACCTGAAAATCGAAAAAAATACGTCAACAACAACAACAACAACAACATCAACATCAACCAACCAACCAACCAACGACGAACAATGGATGCCAACAACAACAACTATAACGACTGAATGCAACCATCTCATCGATCGCCCATCATCTTTCTCTCTATGTGTGTGTGTGTGTGTGCCAACCAAACAAAAAACATATACATATACATATACATATATATATATATATATTTATCAACTTCGGACAACCAACTTATAACTACGATTACGACCAACAACGTGAACGACGGTCATTGGGATGAAATTCGATCATACGAAATCTAAAACTAAAACATAAAACCAACAAATTCACACAAATATATATATACATATTATATATATATATATATATATATATATATATATATTATATATATATATATATATATATATATATATATATTTTTAATTATATACATATATATATATATATATATATATATATATATATATTATGTATGTATGTATATATATGCATGCATGTGTGTGTATATAAAAAAAAAATGACATGTGTCAACGATGCCAAAAAACGTCTCGGGCTGTGATGTTTTGGTGGACACCGGACGGATTAACGGATATGTGGTCGATGCACATCGAAAACCATGGACGCTAACGTGAAATATTACTGGTATATGATGAATGCTGAACGATCGTATGAAAACGAACGGACGAACGCGCGTGTGAATCCCATAAAAAAAAAAATATATACATATATATATATATATGTGTGTATAATACATTAGATTGCTAAAACGATGAACGTAAGGGAACATGAAAGAAAAAGAAAAAAAAAAAAAAGAGAGAATAAAAAGAAAAATGCCACAAAAAAGAGGGTCGCGTGTACATTTTACTGTGCCTACGGAGCGTTAGATATGTGTAAATTTTGAGCTTNATATAAAAAATCCTACGCACTCACGCACGTACAAATATGAAAAAATGACACGGAAACGAACGAAAAAATAAATATATTCGAATAAAAAAAAAAAAATATATTTATATATATATACGAACTAAACAAAACAACAACAAAAAAACCAAAATATATAATAATGAAACACCTACGCATAAACGTGCCACGCACATGTTGAAAAAAAAAAAAAAACAAAAAAAAACGAAATAAAAATCAGACGGCAACTATGCCTACGAGCATGGCAGGAATGGGCGCTCTAGCTGGTGGAATGTCAGGTGTACCAGCAACTGCAATTTCCGGAGGACTACAAGGAACAACAATGGCGAGCATCGAGCTCGGAAAGAAGCGGATGCGCGACTCCAATGATGATCTGCTAATGGTACCACGGCTTATGCATGAAGTACACTTTCCTTTTTCGTAGTTTTTGGATTTTTCGTGAAAATGGCCTCGATCATGTTACTACGAGTACGAATAATATTTCATATTACAAATTATATTAAAAAATTCTTTAGCATATAAATATCAGATATTTTTCACTAATTATTGATTTTACTTAAATAAAGTTTCTTAACAAATACAAGTATACAAATTTATCTTTTCAATTAAATAATATTTCTCGTTTTAAATATTTCTTTCTTTTTTCTTTTTTTTTTTTTTTTTTTTTTTTTTTTAAAGAACGTAACGTTAAATATTTCTATTGGATATATAAATAAAAAGAATACAATCACTTGAGCTTTTTACGGTGATAGCTTTGTGTATATGTGCGTTTCTATCGGAACGTGTATTACTTTTCTTTTTCTCTCTTCGCGTATTTCCAAAGTATTACTTGAATTTTATTGGATCCCTCTACCACCAACCCCCACGGAGAGACATACAGAGGTTTGTTGGTAGACCATAGGATAAAAAAAAAAAAAAAAACGATCGAAGTAAAGTCGAGGCCATTTCGCGAAAGCTTCCACGTAGTCGTATCTTTAAGTTATGAATATAGTTATTGCGATTGTGAATACACTGCCGAGCGCGCTTAGAGCTCTAGCTCCTGTTTCTTTCTCATATTTATATATATATATTTTTTTTTGTTATCTCTTTCACTCTTTCACTCACTCTCTCTCTCTCTCTCTCTCTCTCACTCTCTTTCTCTCTATCTCATTTTATTGTTATTTCGATTTTTTCTTTTTATTTATTTTATTTCATTTCATTTCATTTCATTACATTCTGTCTTTCATCTAACAAAAATGTCCCGCTGGAATCAATTTTCCGATCACGAAAATTCGAAAGATTTTTTTATCGATATGCACTTCCCTTCACAAGTGCGTTCCCCACCCCCCTTCTTTCTTTATTATCATTACTTTTATTCTTCTATTTTTTTTTTCTTATTTTATTCTCTCCTCTTGATACTCCCCCCTCCCCTATAATCAAGATTTCGAATTTCGCATTCTTATTGTTATTATCATTCTTTTTCTCTCTTAATCATATTTTTCTTTTAACCGTTTCTTTTTTTTTTTTTTTTGTATTTTCTCCTTATTCTATTTCTTTATTTCATTTTTTTCACAAAACGTTTTTCGCGTGTAAATGAAATTTTTGGATCGAGAGAAAATATTTGTTTGAAACTTTCACATATATAAATATATACATATATAA